GTCTGCGGGGTTGACAAGCAAAACCAAGGAGGGTACACCCATTCTGCCTGCCGGTGGGGCCCCACACGTCTCGTCGGAAAACTCTCCTCATCTCCTTGGTCTCCATCCTACCTCCCGTGGGATGCTTAACGCATACCTTCCGAAGGCAGGAGTCATCCACTTCTGATAGCAGCGAAGAGCAAGGCTATTAATAGGCTATCTAATTACCCCGATCTGCTAACTCTGAAATCTCTGATTCTGTGATGTGGTTGTTTTGATTTGATTTTCCAATCCAGTAGCGCTTTCATTTATAGAACTGGTCAGACTCGCTCTGGAAGATATTATTTTAACGTTTAAACACCAACTTTCATTCCAAGGAGGAACAAAGTCCTCAAATTTTGGCATTTCTCACTAAAGCAACAAGTGAAAACATTATTAGTTCGGATGGAGGGACGCGATTTGCCTCGCTAAGTTTGCGAATGTCGTTGTTTGGAGTTTTATTATTATTATTCGGCACTTGGTCTCAGACATTTTCAGTCAGGCAGGTAAATGGTGAGAAAAGCGGTTACCAAAAGGAAGGCGAGAGGCTGCCACGATGCCAAGAGAAACGGAGCGGCCCCACCGGAGCTCAGCATGGACACGCATGAAACAGAATTACTCCCGAAAAATGCTTCCAGGAGGACGCATTCATTTTGTCCTGTGGAAAACATTTCACTGGAAGATTTTTATCTGTTCTGATTGTTTGTTTTATTTCCTGGGCAGAGAAGTAAAAAGACAACTAAGCCAGAGGGGGGGGAGGGGGCCGAGATGTATGGCAGGTTTCGATGCATAAAACGATTTCTTTCACGGAGTGTGGCAGGGGCGAAAACTGTCCCAGGGAGCAGTTGGTGACGCTGGATTTTGCCTGTCTGGGGTGTGTGGGTTTTTTGGTGGACTATTTTTTTGTGGGTGTTTTTTTTTGGGGGGGGGGGGTGTTTTTGTTTTGTTTTTTGTTTGTTTGTGCTTTTGTTTGAGTTTTTTGTGGGTGTTTTTTGGGGTGTTTGTTTTGTTTTGTTTTGTTTTGTTTTGTTTTTTAAGTGAGAAAGAATGAAGTCTCTGCAACCTGTGCTGTCGGGATAGGGGCGGAGGTAGGATAGGTAATTGCAGATCGGATTTGATATCGCCTAACATCCGTGATAGGGAACAGGGGAGGATGAAGAGAAGCCCGGTGCTGAAGCGCTGCGGAGAAGTGCGGCTCTGCCGTGCTTCGAGTCCCTCCGCATCCCTCCCTCCCACAACGACTTCTCGCAGCAAGAACACTCAGACACTTTCTCCCGGGCTTCTCGTGCCAGATCCAGCAGGAGAGCCATGAAAGGATTCCCCAGCACCTAGGCAGGAAAAAACAGTGATCCTTGGAGTCCCCCATGGCTCTGGCCCGGGGAGGGCGCCGAGCTCCCGCCCCGCGGCCCCGGGCGGCGGCGGCGGCGGCTCTCACTCTCCCGCCGCCCTGTCCCCCTCGGCGAGGAGGCGGGACACGGGGTGGGGGCCTTTCCTTCTGGTCTTGTCTCGAAACGGGTTCTTTCACCCGGTGTGCAAGAAACCGATCCACACACAGAGTCGAGGTACTTGATTTTTCTCTACAGCTCTGCGCAGAAAGAGGTGGCTGCAATTATAGTGTATATATATATATATATATATATATAGTATTCTTCACCGCAAGACATAAGTGCAACACAGGCCCAACGTTTCTTAGGAAGGGCATTGAGGTGCCCGTTGATAAAAGCGTCAAAATTCACCGACACTTAAAAACCTTTAAAACTGCCGAGAAGCAGTACAACTAATCCTTACCTCACTTTCCAAGTCCCCCTGTATGTGTTTGGAAAGAGACAAAGCACCTATGCGCCCGTTGGACAGAAGCATCTAAGTCATAACTAAATTTTTTAGGATGTTGTGTGGTTCCCGTCTGCCTCCTATGTGCCACCCCGAGAGCTGGAGGGCATCGCCTTAGTCCTGTGTGCCCCACGGGGGCTCAGCGTGCGGGTACCGCGGATCTCTGGCTCCAGGAGTCAGGTTACGCAGCAACAGGAGCCTCCTCCGCGCGTTTTGTTGATTTTAATATCTGTCTCTCTCTCTCTCTTTTTTTTTTTTTTTATTTTTTTTTTTTTTTTTAAGGTTGAAATCATTAACCAGCCAGACCTCGGATACTGGAGGGCGGGCAAATAAAAAGAAGCTGTAGATCATTATTAAAAAAACCCAAAACAACAACAACAACAACAAAAAACAAAAAAAAAATTTTCACAAAACAACAAAACCCCCAAAACAAAACCAACAACAAAAACAACAGCAACAACAAACAAAACAAACTACAAAACCCACACACTTGGACACCTATTGCATAAATGTCCGTGTGGACTCTCTGCTGCCTGATGCTTATTTGAGCGTCAAGGGTTGCAAGACACCGTGGAAATCACCCAAAAGCACGCATCAGAAGGTCACCAATGACGGGAAGGCCGCTTTTACTGCAGTGGGGAATAACATTCTGCCCCACTGCCCGCCGTCGGGCACGGCTTCAACCCAGGGGAGTGCCGAACCAGCGGGAAATGGTCCTCGGAGCCTGGTCAGGGCGTCCTGCCCAGGGCCGGGGCAGCCGCCGGGCCCAAAGTCTGCTGTCTGCGGCCAGCAAGACAGGCTGGAGTTCAAGCCCGACCTCTGAGCACCTGGCAGCCCTTCGCTAGGAGTTTCGGAGAAAGTAAAAAGAATCCCTCCTCGCACTCGAGAATTTGGGGGTCCCCCTTCCCCTTTGGACATATCTGATCTATTGCAAAGGGCACGCTCGCCATGTCCGCCCCCGCCCTTTCTGTGGCGTGTACAGGACACTGCTGCTTTGGGGCTCAGTTTGACTAACCACTACCCTGAGCTCCATACGTCTGCCCCGCCCCGCCCGAGGTGGAGGTGATGGGTGATGTCAAAGGCCCCCGTCCCTCTGAAATGCTCTTTCCCGGTAGATGCGGATTGCCCCGCCGGCTTCGGTGCCTGCGGCGGGGGCGTGAGCTCTGCTGGGAGCCGACCGGCCGGCAGCTCCCCGCCGGGCTGGGCGAGCCTGAGCGCTGCCAGTGCCCCGATCGATAAGTCCGCTTCAATGTCACAGCCGCTGGGGAATGGAAACCCTCCATATCGTGGGGTGGCCTTGATAAAAGTATATTTTAAGTAGTGCGGATAAGCGAAGGGGAGAAGAGAGGCGGAGGGGTGCCGGCACGTCGCCCGCAATAACCGCTGTGCTTATCAGCCCGGCCTAAACTCCCCAGCAGTTTCTAAAGTACATTAAGTTACATAAACACGTCTCGGAAAAGAATACACTCCAACCTGCGATAGTCACCGAGGTGACCCCTCGTACCGCCTCACACCGAACCCGCCGGGCCCCCAGGGCCGCAGGAGCATCGCGGCCTGACACGGTGGGCGATGCCGGCTGCTCCCGGGGCTGCCCTGACCGAGGGGCGGCGGGGATGCGGCCGGACCGAGCCTGCCCCTCCTCACTAATGCATCCCTGCAAAGGGATCACGTTTGCAGAGACCCGGGAGTGGGGGAAGGAGAAACTGCTCTGCATTTGCACATGTCTTTCCCCCAGCCCTTTTTTGGGAGGATGAAGTGCCCACGAGGGAATTTGCCTTAATTGGATACGAAACTTTCTCTTTTTTTTCCCAATCTGCTTTCTTCCCTCTTTGGCCACAACCATCAGGAGAGATGGTTACCTTGCTGGCCACCACCTTCCCAGCGATGTGTACCCACAGCGAGCATCCCCCCGCCCGCAAAAATGCTCCCGCACGTGCACCCCCGGATGCCTAACCCAGGCCCGGAGCAGGAGATACCTGAGAGCCTCCTGGAGCCCCGGGATGAAAGTTACGTCAGAAGAGTGGGATTCGGGAAAGGAGAGACGCAATGAAGAGTTAGGAACCGGAGACTATATGATTTGAGCGGTTCGAGAGCAAACCCGAAACGGAAAGGGGTGATTGGAAACGGTTTCCCACGCTGGTCCCAGTTTAAGCCGGGTTTTCTTATCGTGTCTATGGGAGGAAATAAAATGAAACTTGTAGCCAGGCTATAACGTAAACAGGCTAATCGGCGGTAAAAAGAAAAAAAAAAAAAAGAATAAAAAAAAAAAAAGAAAACTGAGGCGTCTGAAGTGTAAAACACGGGGCAGTTTGGAGACCGGGAAAGAGGCGCCTGCCAGGCCAGAGCGGCCGTTCTTCTTCACAGCCACCCTCAACTTTCGAGCAGGTCCCCACTCCTCACCCTGGGGTTACGTGGGCACCGGCATGTGCCGGTCGTTTGAAATAAACTCTCACGGTATTTCTCGCAGTATATTCACCCTTACACGTGTTTAAAATACCCTCGGGTTTAAATGGAGAAGAGGTATTCAAATGACTGAAAGGAAATGCGGAGTTTGAAGCCGATAGCTCGGCACTTTTCAGCACACAAATTTGCAATGGCAGCACCCAAGCTAGGGAGAAGCGAGCGGCGTAGGCATCTATTCCCGCGGCTTCCCCTGCTCTTGTCGCGCATTTGCAGGCAAAAACCATGGGAAAATGTTTTAAGTTGCAAGTCGGGATCGGAAAACGAGCCGGACGCTGGGAGACAACAAATTCCTGCCCTCTCTTTCAAAAGCTTATTTTCTATTTAATATTGAACCCACTAAAACACACCTAAAAGTAAAAAGAAAAGAAAATCACTTCAACCTGGCAGGGTGACTGATATTATTTAACGATGTTATTTAAAGACATCTGACAAGAAAGAAGCATAACCTTTAATCGTACAATTTAATAGAGAAACGGTTTCTCAAGAAATTGGTTATTTTCCGACCAAACCTCTGCCGCGCTATACGACAAAAATTAACATGCACAATAAAACTTCCAGTTCACAATCGGTTCACCCAACGCCGGCAGAGTGGATGGCTACAACCAGAGTTTTGCTCTATTCCCAGCACTGCAAATTCTTCACCTCCCGTTCACCTTGCCTGGAAAGACCGAAAGAAAAGCTGTGCCTACCCCAGGAACGACAGCACCGCGCATCAGCAGGTTTGAGCTCGGTTTCTGTCGGGAGGGCTCATGCCTGCCGGCTGCCGAGAGCCGGGCTCTGCTCTAGTACAGCCTTTTGCCGCCGATGACTCTTTCTGTACAAACTGATGATGACAGATATCCAGCTGATAACCTCTGGTGAACGAAGTTATTTTAATTTCCAGTCACTTTCCTGCTAAGTACCATATCAGTTTGTACACAGCTGAGATAAGAGGGCTGGGGGGGGATAAGAAAGAAACGGAGGGAAAATGCCTACCGCCAGCTGCTGGGATGGACACATCCCACAGCTTGTTTTGGCTTCACCTGACGATTGGGGCAACTCAAGGAGGAGCCACATTTTTTACCCTCGAATAGCTCTTATTTTAACGC